AAAAAAATAAATAAATTGGCTGTTTATATGCTGTTTAAAATGAACAAACCCATCCCCCACGGTCCAACTAGCTTTAAATTTACTGCATTTAAACATTAGCCTGCTCCTTTGTCTCCATGCCTCTGCATTCACATCTGCACCAACTGATATTTTAATAGCTTATGTGGGGTGTGGCTTATAGCTGCACACTTGCATATAGCAGTTAAGCATTGGGGGATGGTAGGCAGATTATAATATCAGGACTTTTCGCCCAAACGTCTGAAGCAGCGTTATCTCACATGTAAACGCAGCCTTTGTGTTCCATGTCTGCACTGAGCGATGACTACACATGCTTTATTGTTATGGCATGTAGTAAATGTTGAACTTTGAGCTTCCATCTTGGTAGCCACAGGAAGAGATTGTACAGAGACAAAATACAAAATTACCCTGCTGCTTCCTGGCAGGCTTGCTTTTGATAAATTTAGGTTTCTCCTTTCCTTACTAACAGTATCTTTGTCGACTCTGTGCTGTACTAAGAAATAAATAATTCATTAGAAGAGTAAATGATTGCTATAAATGATTTATTATCATTACAAACAAAGAAGGATTTGCAGCCTTATACTAAAGTACTGGAGCACAGCAGCAGTAGCAAGCAACCAGAGGCATGTGTCACATGCTAATTTGAGCTCATGTATTGCTGGGGAGATTCAGGCAGGCGCTGAATTAACAGAAGATCAAAGCTCTACTTAATGGATTATTCTTTAATAGGTTGTGCATTTTGCTGGTTTGACACAGATTGAACGCCGTCTACTTACCCAATCTTGGTCTTTTGCTTGGGCTTTGATGAAGGTACGATGCAGGCCTTCCTGGAGGCCTTCTCTTTGGTCCGGGCTTTGCCATTTCCTTTGTGCTCGCGCTCACGGTGAGTCTTGAACTGAGCAGAGGAGCTGGGGAAGCTCTCCGGGCTCATGACCCGTGGGATGTTCTTCTCCCCTCTTTGTCGCGCCTTGGCTATCGCCTCTGATATTATCCTATTGGCCTTCTCCTGCTTCTCATGCACAGTTGACTCCATCTGATGGTGCTTCCTCCTTGGCACCCTCTTCTCCGACGAGGAGCTGGAGGAGGATGAAGATGAGGAAGAAGACGACGAAGAGGAGGAGGAGGATGAAGGGCTGCTCTTCACTGTGGGGCTGAGGACCCGCACCTGACAACTGGAACCATTGGGGTTTTTTCGAGGCTAAAGGGAGACAGAAGAGAAGCGGATGAAGATAACCATTTTAATGCTTTTAAAAGTATATTTAATAAATACTACAAATATTATTTAAATTAGCCTTTTATTAATTATCTGAAACAATATTTTAGACATGAAGAATGACAAACAAAACTGAACCACTATTATCCAAACAAAACAAAAAAACGGGTCATAACACGGATGATGAATGGCTTCAGATGTTCCAATCACCTCCACAGCTGAAACAGGACTGTCCTGCACAGAGTCTGGACCTAAACCTTAAAGAACACCTTTGGGAATAGAGATGAGGCTGCAAATCTAGTCGTCTTTTTTTGGCAACAGTGACTTGAAAATTCAGCTGACAAGGAAAGTGGGGCGTGCATCAAGCAAAGGTCTAGAAGCTAGGACTGAAACCTGTGATGGCCATGCTATGGATAGCGCTTCCATACATGGGTTGTGCAACCCCAACTCTAGTTTTCTTATCCATTACATTTACAGAATAGTTGTAGCGGTTAGTTTGGAAACTGGGTCAATCAACATATTAGAGCGTATAGATTAAGAGTATGGAGACATTAAAGTTAACGTTAAAGACCGACATCATTGACTACATAGTTTACCTGGAGATTACCTACTGTCAAACATGTAGTTTGCGGTATCCATTACACCCCATTTGTGTATTAGTAGCATATTATATAAAATGTATTTAAGTTGTGTATTTCTAAAGCAGATACAACACCTTGGCGGTAAACAATCTGACCAAAATAAATGACAAAGGATTTTTCCAAAGCCATTGACAAAACAGCAAAGGTACAACCTGGTAGACAGGTTATACCCAGAGTTGTCCCCATCTGTTAGAGACATTCAGCCCTATTAGGCTAAACAAACATTTCAACATCAGTTGAATTCGGTTGTGCCCAGATCTAGTCCCCGAGGTCGGCATGTCTTCCATATTATCCTGGTTCGAACCAACTATGTGATTCATTCAGTACCAAATGTCTGGGAAACTGAACCATTTTTAGCTAGCAGAGAAGTTAATAGATAGAGCAAATGTTTATCTTTACCATGAGACGTAGAAACGATCTGACAGAGTGAGTCACTAATTCTTGACAATTAGCCACTCTTTTTGGCCCTTTGCCATTCTGAACCTTTGCAATTTTTCGTGCAATGCATAATACAATCCCACGATTGTATTATGCAATATAAAAAAAGCCATTCGGCTTTGATAAGGGGTCATAATATCTCATGTTTTGTAAGAGAGTCAGGTGGCTAGAAATGGGATCAGAATTAATAATACCAAAAAAAGAGCAGATCAAATTAATTTGCCTGTAAGATTTCATTGTGTTTAAAAGAGAAATTAAACATTGTCCAATGGGTACATTGATATAAACTGGCTTGCATAAGGGCATAAAAAAGGAAAGGCAATTGCAATGTAAGGATAAAAAAAGCAGTCACCAGCACCAAACTATCACCTTCAATATGGGATTACCAATGCTATATGGTTAGTTTTTATTATATATATTGCATAAAATGTTTTATTAGTCACACATTACGACTGGGGGACGAAGGGAAAAAAATCATAATCCAGTGGATTAGAACCAGAATTTGATATAGCAGTCTCTGATAGGTGTTACTGATTATTCCCGGGAGGAAGGGGGGTTCAGGTTCTTGAAGCCAATATTGCTTTCCTTCCCCCATTTACATAACAAATAAAAATGTAACACTAGCCTCAATTTATCAAAAAAAAAAAAAAAATATTCTTTATATGTAAATGCAATGGATTCACATGATGTGACCTCAAGTCATGGCTGCTAAAGACACAAATGAATCAAACACAGGCAGGTATCAGCTAATGGCGATGTAGAAAAAATAAACAACTGAAACATCGACCCAAAATCAACGTCTTTAGTTCGGCTCGTCACCATATTGGGTTCAGTGATCCAACTAGGAATTGGAAACATAAGTGATAGTAAGAGCCTCTTCTTAAGGTAGCAGAAACCCTTTGGAGCTAAGCCAGACAGAAGAGCATGTTGCTGCCTCTTTCTTTAATGCTGTTGGTTGGAGGTGGACCAGTCCCACTTTGCCCGTTACTTGCTTCAACTCCAAGCTTAATCTAACTTAAACTAGAAAATACAGCAAGAAAAGATACTAGAAAATACTAGAAAATACAGCAAGAAAAAATAAAACAAAACAGAAAAATAGAAGCTTTCTTACAGAGAATCGCTTTCAGATCAGGTGGACACCAGGTTACACCAATAGTCTGATGTAAATGCAGTTCTTTTGAGTTAGGCGTCTAAAGCATTTGCCCGTTGCAGCAGGTTACATTGAATCTTGCAGACATAAATAATCCAGCCTCTGTGATACATGATAATATGTGAATAATGGATGCCGTTACTGCAGTTATGCCCTGTTGTGGGCCTTCAGCCCAGAGGAAAGGGAACCCATAAATGAATGACCTAATCTAAAAATGTGTTTGTATGACTACATGGCTCAGGCGCGCCTAGTGGCTTTTTTTTTCCAACCCCCTCTCTACACTGCTAGAAAAATAAAGGAATTAGCTTAAACCATACTGACAAAGTAGGGGGAGGGAAATGAATGATTAGCAATTCCTCTGGAAGAAAGTATGGGGGAAGAAAACGCTTACAAGAGCTGCATTATAATTTTCACATGTGCTTCTCTGCTGAGGCTATTAGGAAGAAATTGACTGGATCAAGCTGGAATGTTTTCATTCAAGTTAATAAAAAAAAAAACAGAAGGAGGAGTTGAAAGTAATGCATAAAAAAAACACTAAGGAGGAGCAAAAAAAATTCCACAAAACGGGTTTCCATCAGCAAAGCTAGAGGTTGGGGGAAAGAAAATCTAAAATGCAGCAAAAGTGAGAGCGCTGCAGCTGTGTAATACATCTATAAATAACTGAAATTACAGCCTGCCAGCACTGCAGTGATTTCAATCTCTCTCGCAGCACGCAGTCCCGTGAAAAACGGCGGGGACCAACAGAGACCATGAAAAGGTAAAGTAAGCTCCATTTAGGTGGGACACCTTCCCCTCAGTGCCCACCCCTCATTTCCACATGGAGCAGGCTCTCTGCTGACTGACAGGCTCAACTCGTGGAGGGCAAACACACAGACACAGACACACACACACACACTGAAACTACAGAGCAGGACAGCTGTAGGCGCAGATCAACAGGAGAACGACAAAGTGATGTGGGACATGAAAGGCTGAAGAGGGGCTGGGGAAATCAGTCGAATCCACTGGGTCTTCATTATGTCACACGGTAGAAAGAATGAGTGGAAAGAGGAACAGAAAGAAAAAAAATTAAAAAAATTCAGCAATGAGTTCAAGATGGCGGCAGTGCAGCATGAGCCAGTAGCAGAGGAGGTTGTTCAGTTCCTGCCGGGCCCCTCCTCCTCCCCCCTCGTTCCTCCTCCCTCTGAGAGCAGCTCACTTACCCTTCCTCTTGGCCTCTTCACTGTAGACATGGTGAGTTTTTTTTTCTCCTTCCTCTTTGCTCCCCCTCTCCAGCCGGCTAACAAAAGCCTTGCCCTTTCACCGTGTTCCTGCTCTCTCTGTTGCTCACCAACTCCTTCTCTTCCAAATACTCCTCTTTTTCCCCCAACAGTCCGGTTTCTGTCACTCTTCCTTGAGCTGAGTGGTGTTCCCCCCTCCCCTTCCCTCCCCTCCCTCACTTGCTTGTTCCTCGTTTTCCTCCCCTCCTCCTCCTCCTCCTTTCCCGGTCAGCTCGTCTCCTCGGGCGAGAGTGAGCGCTATGCTGGAACCGTTCCGTCGCCTCCTCCCCCAGCGGGCAGGGCTCAAGAGGAGCGCATGGGGAGCTCTCTCTCTCTTTCTCTCTTCCTCCCTCTTTCGTCTCCTCACAGGGTGATGAGGGAGCAGCGCTGTTGGCGGTAGAGGAGGTGAGTGACAGTCCAGGAAGCTCTCATTCTGCTGCTGCGTGCCGTTTCACCGTAGTCCGGCTTCAGCCTTTCCTCTCTCTCTCTTGTTTGTGTGTGTCAGAGTTGCCTTACCCAGCCGCCTCTCTCCTCCCCCCCACATTGAGTCCTCTTTCCTCTCGTGAGTGTGGTCTTGGTGCCTCTCCGGCTCCTCTTAATTCTCCCCGTTCACCATTTCTGCCTTGCCGCCTTCCTGTTATCTTCTCTCCTCGTCTCCTTCAGCAGCCAGATGAAGGTAGGTTTCCCTTCTTATTGCTTACAGAAAAGGCTTTGTCTGACCTTTAGCGGTTGTTTGGTGTTGTTGGTTTTTCCCCCTCTCCTGTCCTCCCTATACTTGTCCCTTTCCCGGTCCTTTTCCCGTTGTTCTTCTCTCCGCTCGGATGCCGTGCGCGTACAGAGCTTAAGTCTCAGGCAACCGGAGCCGTGGAAAATGAAAGCACAAAGAAGCAAAATGCATCAGCATGAATATTAGAGATGTCGTTAAAACCCAGACTCGTTTTTCTCTCGCTCACTCACTCGCCCTCTCTCTCTCTCTCTCTCTCTCTCTCTTTGTGAGGAAGTAGGCCAGCAGATGGTGCTAGCAGTTATTACATTAACTTTCTCAACTTAACCCCCAAAGCACTGGATTTTGTCACACGTTTTAGATCGGCAGAATGGGAGGCTTGTTGAGTGGCTTCTGCATAAAATACACTGATTTACTCAAGCATCAGTCAAACATGCAACTAAACAAGCTCCCGAAAGGAGGAATGGAATCCAGGCTGGCACTTTGACAAGGTCACAGCTGGGTCAATATGCAACAATGATAAAGAAGAAGGTTTACAAAGGAAGGCAGGATGAGCTGGACAACTTGGATCAAAGCTCAACGACAGAACATGAACATCTTTGAGGAACTAATGACACCACCGCCAAGCAGCCATGTGAACCAGCTCACACATGAGCTGAAATCAGCTGCAACACTCAGCACTGCCATGTGCATCCAGCTCGCGACATCAACTACACTAGGTCTAAGAAAAAGAAAAAGAAAACATTTGAAATGAGCCTAACATTTCATTTTATTTCAACAAATAGAGATTTTTTTCCCTAAAAGTGCAGTAACACTCTTTTGGGCTTTACTTGAAATTTAAATATAATAATTTTGTTACTTTCGCCATAATGGCAACCCTCTGCTCCCCAAGGGGATGGGTTAAATGCAGAATTCATTTCATTGCTCTGTACTTATGACATGGTAATGACAATAAAAAAGCTGAAAAAAAATAAGTATCTGTTTATAAAGTTTGACTGATCAGTAAGCTAATCAGAAAGAGTTCAGAGCACATAGGATGGCAATTGGGAGAAATATTAATATGCCTGGGAAGAAAATAAAAATCTAAAGTATAGATAAACAGTCCCTTATGAATATCTCTAATTGTAATAAGTTATTCACTGTTTTGTAGAGCAGGTATCATTCCTTAAGTAATACATATTCCATCAAAATTAATTGTTGACGCCTGACTTATTAAGATCTATTCAACTTCGAACTCTAGGAACAGGGGATTGTGGGTAGTTAGCATAAACTGAATGGAAGCTATTAATTCAGGAATGTTAATAGATCCTTTGTCCAAGCCTTTAAATCTTATCTTATATTTGCATCCAACTCGACAGACTCAGTGGCACCATGATGCAAACGATCCTCACAGCAGGAAGATGAAAAAAGCATCTATGGTAGCTGAATCCATGCATGTGTGCTTGCAACACTCTGATTTAAAGTGATTGGTGGTAACATGAGGTTAAAAGCTGAGCTCATCCTTCATTAAGTCAGTCAGTCTGACCACAGACAGCTGATTCAAGACGGTTAATGAAAACCAAAAACAACACAGAGGCAAATCAAAGAGTTTGGCCAGGAATAACTTAAATGTTGGCTTATGTAGTTTCCACCTTTTTGGTTCCATTGTAAGTTTGCTCAGATAAAGTGTGAAATGTGTGGGTGACCATATGCAAGTTCTAACACCTTATGGGTTTAGGTTACTAATAATAAGGATGTTGTGGACAAGAGTGCTTCTGGAGGCTGTTGCAGAACCCCTCTGTGGTTTGTGTCGCTTCATGTCTCTCTGCTTTCTATCTCTTACAGACTTGGAGACGGTTTCCTTGAATGAAGGTAGCGGCTGCTTTCGAACTTTCAGCAGCGCTGGCAGTAGTCGGCTTTGTACCGACCTGCCAAAGCCTTGGAGTTTGGACTGTAAAGCAGAGGACATGCTTACAGGGAAGCTGAGCGGGACGGCCCGTCCCAATTCCACTGTCAGGCTGCCCAAAAGGGTGAAGTACCTGGAGATGGGTTGAAAACATGCAGGGCAGAACTAGAATAGCCTCAAGACTCTCTTTTTGTCCCCATAAATAAATGAATGAATAAATAAATAACAGTCAAACAGCATCTCTCCCGTCTGAGTGCTGAAACCAAACAGGAGGTGAATAACCTCTGCTATCTTAGTAAAAAAAAAAACAGGTTAAATTCCCTCCTTTGTCTTTAAGTGATTTTATAAAAAAAATATTTGCTCTCATTGGAGAAAATAATCAAAAAAAGGAGCAACAGTCAACTTAATAAAGCTCAGACTTCGAATGTCAAATGGCACGAAGCCACAGCTCCCTGGCGACTAGACAGTTAATATGCAAACGAGGCTGGCAGCTCACTGTGAGAGGGAGGGGCTTCCTTTTAGGCCAGATGAGATGGTGGAGAGGAAGAAGAGGGGAGGGGAGGAGGAGGAGGAGGAGGAAGGGGAGTGAAAGGCAGTGACGGGGAAAGGAAGTGGGTTATAAAGGGAGAAAAAAAAAAAGAACTGCTCTTCCCGCCCAGGGAGGGAGAGCGGCTGCAAAGATACAGGTGTCCGTCTCTAAAGACCGTCTCACCCCCATCAAATACTATTAGTGAAGCACGGTTATTACAAGGAAGAGTCATCTCTCTCTCTCTCTCTCACTAATCATTATGGAAATGAAAGCAGAGAGCAAGCAGCGAGTTGACCGGAGCCCACAAGATGGCAAGTTCATAACCGAGCTTCAGGGCAAACACGAGATGAAATCACTACTCAGGAGAGAAAGATGATGTTTCTCAGTGTTACTGAGAGCACCATCAATGGTTAACTGAATGGGAGCGAGGCGTTAGATCCATCATGGACGGCAGCCAACAATGGACGTTTGATCTGGCAAATGGCTTCTTCAGATTACCGCTTCCACAGTGAAGGGGGGAAACATCCTTTAGGGCAGATATCGCTGCTCACAGTGCTTGATGACCCTCCTGAGGTGCACTTTAGCCACTGAATTAACTCAAGGCCAAGCCTGGCTGCTATGAGCATTATTTTTATCGTTCAAAGCAGGTTTTGACTTTAGAAAAGCAGCATTTTTATAACAGTTAAAAGCCAAAAATTTCAATAAAAGTGCATTTTAACTCTGCTACCCAGAGATAATTTCTGGCCTTCCACAGTGTGTTACATAAACAGGATTCTTATGTAAATTAAATGTGCCGTTGTGAATAGGGTAACAGTAGGTTTGAAAGTGACTCCTCTTCATTAAAAGCCGAAATTTTAAACAACAAAACAACCAATTATTGTGGTACAACAATCATGCTTTGCAACTTGCATAAAGTCACTTTGACACCTATAAAAACTTCTAAGGGTAAAATTTAATGAAAAGCTGATTCTATATTTTTTCATATCACAGTAAAGGAACAAAGTGACTTTAACATCAGAAAATTCTGTATCAGTTCCTGTTTTTTGGTTTATTTTTATATTTGCTTACTTTCACACTTTAAATTAGTTAATAATATATAAACCTGGGGAGCTGAGATTGTTTGACTGAAAAAATATTTATTTACACTTCTGGTTTAAATCGAATAATGGCATTGTCCTCTCCTCTTCCATCCTGGTCTCAGGCTGAGAGTAAACTGATATTATAACAGTGAATAAAAACATGGTGCAATCACAAATTTCAGTTGAAAAAAAAGTTAATTGCTAGTTAATCGGTTTAGGGTAGAAGTTTACAGAAACAGAGTGTTTAACTACTAAAAAAATTACTACACAGCTATGGTTCTGGTTAGGTCTGTGTGATAAGACTGAATAATGCATCACCATATAAGTGTCATGTAGGAGATATATATATATATAATTATAGATTGTTTTTAACCTACTTTTAATAAAGGGGAAGGAAAAAAGGGTAAATTTAAATTGTAACTATAGTTAAACATAACCTTTAAAAAGAGGTCCGCTCTACCACCATGCTTTGCTTTGCTGCGAGAGGTTGAGAGGGTAAATCCTTCCCTCTGCCTACATCTCCCAGAATGCCATGGGGTTCTGAATCAGAGTTCAATGAAATTAGTCTCTTCTACTGATATTAATGTCTTGTTTTTTTTATGGTTTATGTTTTATTGCACAGTTCTTATTCAGTTCTGTGCAGAAAGTTTTACGTCCTTTCTAGAGCAGATTTCTGGGCTACAATTCTACTCCAGTGAATCATTAATAGCCACAATTTCTGTAATGGAAACAAAAGAGCTAGAAAAAGAGCCCCAGATTATATTCCTGCAGGGGAAACACCTCAAAATGATCAAACCCAAATCAACAAGCATCAATCAGCTGTATTTACAGGTTATTTCACACCAGCTAATAAACTAAGACAAACACGGATTCTGCCTTATCTAATAATTAGTTTATGATCTTTAACTGAAGAACATTAACCAAACAGTCTCTAACAAGATTTAACACTCAAGAGGAAGCTTGGACACCTCCAGGCTGCCAACAAATTGGTTAAATAACAGCTTTTCTAAGACATGTTGATCAGAGCTTATTTGTTTACATATGAAGTCAAAAGGAGAAGGTTGCAGTAACAGTTGCTTAATAAAGCATTTCACTTTGACCACAAAAATTGATAAAAAAAACAACACATTTCTGTTCGAGTGTTACTCAGAACAGATCTGACCTCTGAGGTTTAACACAAAAATAAATAATTACCTGACATCAGATGAATAACCCATAAAAAAAAAAAAATCATACCTATTCATTAAACAATCAAGGTGTCTAGGTGTAGGAAGAAAAATAACAACAAACAGCCTTGTTAATTAGTCCAGCGGCTAAAGGCCAGTTTGCAAGTCAGAGCTGAGAGTCTGGCAGCAGCTGCGGAGCTGATAAATGAAAGGAGACATGATGCACAGTGATGCTTCCTCAACCAATTAAAAACAGCACCATGCATTAATGATCTTTGGTTCAGGGTCAAGAGTAAAACTAGCTAGGCTGAGCGTGCTGCCCTGAGGGAAGGCTGCTGAAAGTATAACAGAGCACAGTTACTGTAGTCTGGCTGCGTGTGCTACGACAGGACGCCAACTAGCTGACGGCATGAAATGTGTGCAATTCACAGCAGCCGACTGCTGCCTCAGATGGGTCAGATGGGTTCATGGCATCTCAGCTACTTTCCATCAGTGATGCAGAGGGTTTTTCTGCTCTTGCAATAATAAAAAACATAACTTAGTAATTAAGTCAAAGGAAGAGCTGGACAGAATAAAGCCCCTGGGTAACGTGAGGAGTGTTAATGTGACCAACAGAGCTTAGTGATGCAACCACTCATACATGTTTCCAGTATTGCACGTCTGGTTTGCCTGGACAATACCCATCGGTGGGCAGTGTGCAAAGTTCAAATCAGACACATGCGCTTGTTTTCAACTGGAGTGCTGCCTGTTGTTTTGTGCTGCAGTTTGACATTTGCAATAAAAACCCAGACAAAAACACACCTGTCTAACACAGACAGTCAATACACTTAACTGGGGAAATGTTTTATTTTAAATCATACTTTAGTTAACCAACTGGTTAAGCAACAGCAAGTACAACTCTGATTTATTTGCAAAGAACAGGGAGTCAGTCGGGTTTTACAAACTCATCCTTTAAGCCTGTTGCCACACAGAGAGACAAACTGACTGACTTACTGCTCTATTTAAACAAGAGAACATGGAGCTATACCTAGAAATGCACCGATCTAGTCTGACCTGCTGTTTCACATTTCCCCCAGAATATATCAGACATAAGCTCGAAAAAAAGGGCTCCTTGATGAAGGAGTTACAAGATGTGGGGTCTGATTTTCCAGACCTACCAACCAGAGCCGATTAGGGGATACTCTCTGCTACCAGTGGCAGTCTTCAAAAGGCCTCCTTGCTAAGTTAGTGAATAGAGACTGAAATTTTGTTTTCTTAAGGAACTAATGAATGAAGACCCCACACAGTGAAACGATTTCGTTACAGGAAGCAGCCAAGGCCTGGCTGAGCGTCAACCAGAAAGCCAAAGCAGTTATTCTAACCAGAGCATTTGCTCTTCAAGGGTGAGCTGCTAATAAGCATACATTACATATAAAAGAAAAAGCTATGCCTTAAATCAGATGTTTCTAACTAAACTAACTTGATCAAAAATTGATCTATTTAATTATTTGTTTTTAGCTGTCCTATGTAGGATTGGTAAAAGGAAACTGGACCATAAGTTCGCGCCCCTCCCTTCAATTGATGTTTTAGTTTTCTTTAGTTAAAGTGATTCGAGACTAAGACTCGTGGTGATCATCAGTAGATCTGTGTTTCAGCTTAAGTTCATTTATGATTATAGCTAACAGCTGAAAAAGAAAGAGGAAAACACATTTTCTAAAAACAAAAAAGGTTTCCTTTTAGGCATGTTGTAGTTCAAGCAATTATGGGGAAATCTGCTGACACAATAGTTCTGCAGTAGTCATTATCACTCTCCACAAGGCGGATATGCCATAAAGGTCATTGCTTAGGAAGCTGGCAGTACAGAACTCTACATCCGAACACATTAGGAGAAAGTTGAGGAGTCGAAGAAAGAATGTTGTAGAAAAAGATGCAAAGACAAGAACTACAACAACAACCTCCTTTTTTGGTCACATCAAATGTAAATTTCTAGCATCTGTTAGAATTTGTGAAGTGGTGATGCCACAGCTATGTCCAAAGTTATCACAACACTCGTTTAGAGCGCTTCACCTTCCCTCCTGCTTATAGACTACTCTGATGCCAATTTCCTCCAGCAGGACTTGGCATCTGCCCAGATTGGCAATACCTGCTTTAAAGACCACAGCGTGGCTGACTTATTGGCCAGAGCTTCCAGTGACCTAAAGCTCAGTTCTTAATGTGCAATTATCAGCTGTGTGAGCCAGAATATTTTGTCCTATAAGAAAATCCTCGGTAATGATCGGTGCTCTGTGGTTATTCAGTGGGGCAGATGCACCACAGCTGATTCAGCTCCCTCCAAACCAAAGCTGCAGTGACTGGCACTTAAAGCTAGTCCTAATATCCATCAATCAACACTTCCCTCTCATGCCCATTCCAGTCCTGCTCCGTACTACAATAATAGAGCAAATCGACGCCCCTTGATTGCTGTCCATCTCCATTAAGATGCCTCTTTGTTTTATATTCTATATTGTAGACCTTTAGAATACAGTTGGTCTCTGAACAAGGGGAAACTTTGCAGGTACTGTATAATTATTCTACTCTACAGAAAAAAATCAGCCCAAGCCTTTGTGGACTTAACAAGTTGTGCCAGAGGCAAAATTGAAAGCTTTTTCTCCTTAAGGCTGCTCTTAAAACTGGGGTTGTTCTGAGTAATGATGTGCTGCTCTCCGAATCAAAGATGGCACAGCAGGTCAGACTGCAGGCAGTGAAGCAAAGCTGAACTGTGCAAAACAAGCAAGCCGGATGATGCTATTCATTAACGAGAACGGCGGTGAAAACTGAAGAGTGGAGCTGAGAGGATGTCCCTCAGGATGCACTGGAGAGAGACGGTCAGAGCGGGAGGGTCGAGGCATGAGTGAGAAATAAAGAGCAAGGTAGGTCAGTAGGGCCTTACTGCCAGACCTTTACTGCTCGCTTTAATATTGAAGCTGTGCAAGGAGTGAAAAGAGCCCATGCCTGCATGTAGGGGAAGACACGCAGTGGTGAAAACATAATGGTGCACAAGCAAAACACAGAGGGTTCACTGCTTAGTCAACCTCCAGCCTTCAGGATTAGACGAAGCAAGGATTTTATTTTCCCTGTGCTGGTTTCTACATGCTGCTCTCACAGGCAGGCGATGGAGGAAATCTCTGCTGCTCGGTAAATTAACCCCTCCGTCGAACTACACTTTTATATAAGGCTTGTTCAGGTTCACTTTCACAAAATGACCTAAATATTAAATCTTCAAAAAGAATTGTAGCGGTCATATAAAATTCATTTTAAATGGACTTTTAATTATCTCTCCTTTAAAGCTTTACCTCAATCTAGTTTATCGAATATCAAATTATATAGATTTTTTTTTCTTTTTTCATTTTATGTCTAGAAAGAAGATAAACATTTATTGAACAACTTATTTTTTACTTGTTTAGGATACTGTAAAGTAAAGTAAAGAAAGAGAAACAGCCAGGCTGCTGGGGTTTAATGGCAACACAAATCATGTCACTGCTATGTGGGATTTGGTGAAAAAAATTTATAAAAACTGGAAAAATTTGGATTTAAAGCAAAATTCGGTTAAACAATATTATAACAAATGTAAAAATCTTAAATGTGCAACCCCCTTTACCAGAAAGATAGGCCTACCCAGTCATGGCCGACCCTTCCAGAGATCTGCAGCTCACAACTAATACATTACTTGTTCACTACGCAAATGTGAACTTAAGAATAAGTGTGGTTGAAAATTACTTTGTTGAAAGGAAAAAAAAAAAGTCTCCAAAGTCACAGATCCTGCATCACCAAACCAAAATACTGCATATTTGCACCATATACATTTGTTTGAAATGCTCTGAAGTTCCATATCAATTTTTTGCACCATGTTTTTTTTTTCCCACACAGTTTACATTTGATCACTGCAGCACTTTATGAAATGGAAATGTTAATTTCACTGCTAAGCTGCTGCTCATTCACCATCTGAAAGCTGTCCAAAACTAAATTTGGTTTTGTACACACTGTGTGTAGAAAATGACAATAAAAGTTGTCTTAGGAGAGAAGCTAGAAGTATTCACATGGAAATGTTTTGGTGGACATGAGCTTAAAAACACCATCTGCACAAAAAGGAAGTAATGGTTGCAGCATCATGATGAGGCGATGCAATACGTGTCAAAAAGGTTTTCCAGGTACGTTGTTGCCATTTAAATATATATATATATATTATATATATATATATATATACACACACACACACATTTTAATATGGAGATCTAGCCAGAGAATGTGTATTCAGATCCATCAGGTGCAGCAGCTGCTAGCTCTACAGGTTGAATGATGGTGAAGGAGGGGATACTTCACATATTACTAAACAACAACTTTGCATTGTAGCCAAAGAATGGTCATTTTTGCTTACGGTTACACCACCTGGATTTCATACCAGTCCATGACTAGAGTTGTGCTGATTATATTACAAAATAATCTAAGCCACATACTCCAATCCAAGCCTAAAGGTTCTGCAAGCAGAATCTAGAAAGAGTTTCTAGAACCAGAAAAAAAATATTCCTCTTTGATGTGGACCATCATTTCATGACTGAATTACCTCATTGAAACTGGAATTTTGTGCTTTTACATGTGATCTTTTAAAATGCTGCCAGTTTTTAATCATTTGCATTATTTCTTTCTCCTTTTTTAATTAGCCATTTCAATCATAAAATAAATGTTTACCTCCCATCTTTGTAAGGTTGTTTTGTGATTTTCAACTATGTGAGGTGCTGCTTAATGAACTTTGTGCAAAATTCTGAATCTAGTTCCCTAGGAGAAGAGCTGGAACCACTTCTACCATTGCTAAAAGGGTAGAAGGTTTTCCATTGCATTGTTCCTAGAGTTTGAAGTCCTTTTCTTTTAATGTCAGAGGAGTTCTTTCCTGCACTTTAAGCATGGAATAATGCAGTAATCTCCACTGTTG